GATCGGGGGGCTGGGGGTCTGGTTATCCCAGCCCCTGCCTAAGCCAGGACGGGTCAGCGATAGGGAGCTGTGGTGGCAGCGCGTGCGTGTGCCTTTGCCAGCGCTCGGGGATTTTCATCTCTTCCAAGAGGACAGAGAGAAGGGTGGAAAAAACAACATTTTCCCTTGTGGTTTGGAGAAGAAGAATTTCCATTACAGCAGGAGCATTTGTGGGAGGCTTAGATGCTCTCTGAATGAACTAATCCGTATTTTAGAAGAAGCAGTGTCCCGAGCTGGGGCAGCTTGTCCGGAGCCACAGATGCCGCCGAGACAAGAAGCAGGGCAGCCTGCCTACCCATCGCCCTGCAGAGCCTGGCTTTCTGAGGTTTCTCCTCCCGAGATTTACTCTCCAGCGGTGCCGTTTCAAGCGACTCTTAACCAACGGGTCCTGCGGTCCGAGCTGGAGCTCCGCACAGCCCCGGTGCCACGACGCAGACGCGGCACACGCCCGAGAGCTGAGAGGAAGGGCTTTACTGTCAGCTGGCCTGAGGCTTGCACACCACACATGGAGGCCTCAGGTATTCCCCTGGCAGCTCCCCACTTGCACAGTAAATAGATGATTCATTTGTCTGCTTTGGCAACGAGCGTAGATCACCAAGGAAACGCTCGCAAGCTATCAGAAAAGTTAGAGCACAAAATCAGGTCAAGAGAAATGATGAATGGATGGTGACGTGTGCGCGTTACGGGCTCCAGCTCCCCGCTCGGTATCACCGGTTCTCTGCAGAAATCTTCGCTTCTCCTGGAGCGTGTGGCCAGGGGGGTAGCAGTCAGCCAGAACAACTGTTTTTGAAGTACTTCTTGTGACGTAATCGAGCGTGTCACACGGACCTTCCACATCTGCTCTAGGGATGTGGGGGTCTGGAATGCTTGCTGTTGTCACCAAAAGAAAATGCGATACTTTAGCAATAAGAAAACAAGAGCAAACCACATCTTTAGCCGTCTTACTATATTCATGAGAAGACAGGGGCTAAACTTGCTGACGGACTTGCTGTGTTGTGATATAATATTTGTATTAATATAACGTAACGTAACGTAACGTAACGTAACGTAACGTAACGTAACGTAACGTAACGTAACGTAACGTAACGTAAC